GTCCCAGCAACCTTGATCCGAAACAGCGACCAAAAGCAACAACCGGCAACATACAGCAAAGGTAAGCCAACAACGAACTGGCCCAATGCTGCGACGTATACCGGCGACACATAGCCATCTGAAGACTGACTCTCCGTCAGGATGGTACATGAAATGATGCACCTTTCTGAATGATATCGAGCAGCCACAAGAGTTCATCGTATCCGAGGGCGAGCAAACTGGACCACTTTGAGCCCCAGAACATGGTAGCCTAAAATGAAGACTATTCTATTAGTAATAAAGGGTATCATAGTAGCAGCCTGGATCGTATCTCACCTGTCCAACTATTATACCAATGCTTAGAATCGCACAGAATAGTGCGGTGATACGCGTGAGGTATGGGAGTAGAGAATGCCTCGCGGACACCTACAACGAATATTCTACTACAGTGGTCACTGTATCCAATCTGATTGGATACATGCCCATTCATGCGCTATGACGGAAACCTTCCATCTCGCTACTAACTCCACTATGAAGTAAGTGGCGTCATTGTGAAGTTTTGCTCGACAGTCGAGCAAGACTTTCTGTGCTATAATGCCTTACAATTGAGTCTCGTAGTCTTTGTGATGCATTCCTTTGCGAAGGTACAGGAATATTCTCATCTGCTAAACGGTCCTCCAACGCCCATCCTGTCTCTATCAAGTCAGACCACCTATAATCGAGTTTTAGGGAAGAGAAAGATGCGAGCATACTACCTATGCTGACTACGCCTCGCCGTGGCCAAGGCACTGGACAATTCCAAATCTTCCTTGGAAGGGATAGGCCTCACAAGGGACAGGTTCGTTGGTATCAATGGCGTGCCTACATCACCCTTCCCCAGAGTTAGCTGACGAGATCTACGTCACCTTCAGTGTCTCCCTCTAGACATTCGGAGACAACTTCATCCCGTCCATCATAGAAATTCACAGCAATGCCCAAAAACTCTCCCGCTTCTCGTATCTACTCCGGATGCCATAGTGACAGACTCGTGCGCAAGCATATGGCTGGCGTCCATTGCTCCGTCACTACAAGTTGCTTAGAAGCTCCCTGCCCTGATTCGCGCTCTTGATCACGGTAATGGTTGAAGACGTCCATGAGGTCGAACTTCGCCGAAAGCCGTGCCTGCAGGGCACAATAGCAACAACTTCATCGCATTCCACAAGGCAATAAATTTACTATGCCGAACTCCTGTCAAAGACTCCTCTCGCAGATCACTTCCAGTCTACTCTTCAACATGCCTAGTGTTTACACACGCTCCCTTTATTACATCTTCTGCCGATACCACCTGAGCATAGATAGCTTCCATATGGCGTTTGTCATATGACAACACATGCAACCACTGCGGTACAGCCACTAGACCATACCCCAACAGCAGAGTGACCAATACCAGACCCCATGCATTGGAAGCAGCATAGATGAATCCAAGTATACCTTGCAGACCAAGCCGCTGCATGTACCACAAGTAAGCCAGGATCAACAGTCCAGCACAGGCGTATGCTAGGTACCAGATAGCATTGTTGCGGAGAGCCTTCTTTATAGAGTGGACGGATTCGTATTCCAACATGATAGGGTATGCTATCCAGCATAGAGTGAACGAAACCCAATAGACGCTAGTCCAGGACTCAGAAAGGATTTCTGTATGCTCGTTAGTTCTCGAAAAGCATATATCGTACGGCAACAGTATGAAGGTAGTTACCGCAAGAGCCATACCGCAGTACACCATCACAAACTGGAATAGGCTGGTATCCTTACTTGCGTAGCTGGATAGAATCTTCAGACCCCACAATAAGGATACTACCAGTGTGCCGACAGGGAGCACCAACGACTCTTCTATCGCCATCACCACAAATTGAAAATCATACTGAATAGACAGGGGGAATCGGCACATCTCTTCTTACTTCCCTCGAATTTACCCCATACAAGCCAAGTAACAAGTTTGGGGGACAGTTGACAGTGCCTTGCGATACGACAATCCATTATGCTAGACAGCGGAAGATCAACTCAACCACATTCTGACTGCATCGCTCCGCTCTTTTGTCGCGTCACGTTGTCACGTTTTTCAATTTGTGTTGGTCCCAAAATTATGGATCCCAGAGCTGGCCATAGTGGTGTGTTATTAATACGTAAGACTGTTGTATGAACTTATCAAGCTCATCTGGGGAAATGGCGCGGTAAGACCTGGTCTTGAGTCTATACTTAGTCTGGCCTGGTAATTCGCTTACCGAGTTATTTTCGTGTATCTTTGTAAACTTATTAAAGGTGTGGTTTGTTAACCTTGATGCCGTTCGGGTTGTGGTCCAAATCCAGCTCTGGTGTCTCTTCGGCATCCTCTTCAAGCGGCTCCCAACATCACCACCGACACCATACATCGAAAACGCATCGACATGAACGGTCAAAGAGCTACTCTGCTGCCTCTGCATCCAGTTCAGAAGAAGCTGCCGGAAAGGTTAAGACTGTAGTTGAGAGCAGTGAGCATGAGGGTGCCGAAGACGATGCAGTCCTAGCCAGAATTGATCCAAAGGCCAAGGCCGGAAGTAAGTGGAAGAATATCAATGGAACGAATGACAGCCGAATCAAATCAGTTTCGAGTATAGAAGTCACCTTCGTATACATTTTCATTGGGAGGGAGGATAGTGTTATTGCATCAGGCACATTAGTTGACTCAGACTCGGACGGATGCTATGAGAAGGAGTACCTCGACTCATTGAAGCACAAGTCCAATCGCGCCAGTAAGAGGGCTCCCTTTTGCTGGGACTACAAACAATTGGGGCTCAGGCTATGTGGGTGGCGCGGCGACAGGTGTAGCAGCTGCAGTTGGAACATTCGTGGTACTAACGGGCATCCCATCACGTCGCATCCCATTGTGCTCCATCTACCCTACCTGTTCTTGAATGCCCCATCTCGTTATAATGATGGCAATAGCAACGGCTTGATAGTTATAACAATGGATGATGCCGCATCATCAAATAGTCACCTGATGCTGTTAGGATTGAGCTCTTGGTTGTATAAGTCTAATAGGTATTTGCATCACCTCTGGCCGTAGCCGGAGCTGCTGCTGTTGGCGCTGGTGGAGCATGGAAGTTGCTTCGAGACAAGGGGAAACGAGAAGTCAAAGCGGTAGTTATTGACTATCATCTCTCTGTCCAACACATCTCACTATTGCTTGACCTCGCTGTGGTGGTTCATCGTCAATGACGATCAGTCATGCCTGGGTTACTTCAGGCAGAAGGCACTATGAAGTCAGGGGATCATTCGGCTGATGTTACGCAGACCATGTTGGGGGCCTCTGGCACCGACTTGCCCTCCAAGAGTAATACGCCGTATTGTCTTCCATGTCTTAGCATTGCTACCTGATTCATCTCCTTGTGATCTAACCGAACTCATGTCTCATCAGGTTACTTCACGATTTCTGGGAAATCAGCGACCGAGCTCGATGAGTTTCTCGCTGGTGGAAAACCTAGTATTACCAGGGGGGTAGATCTGTCATCATTGTTACGACGTCCTCAGGTCTAAAGAGGCTTAAATTTCTCGTGTCATGGGCACGGCTGCAAGTGGAGGACTCCTTGCCAAGCATGGAGATGGCTCGTAAGATTCGTTCTCGAGTTTCGCTATATCAAAGTCGAATCCTTTTATAGTTAACTCTGGAGACAGTGCACGGATAAGCGCACAGTGTACTAAATTAATGACAGCTTTGGATGAAGTGATAGGATCATTCTCTCCATGGGTACAGCAACAATATGTCGCGAGAGCAGAGAAGGATAAGGTGATGATGATGGTTCATCAGCCTTATCAGGAACCGCTCTTCTCAGGGTAAAAGACATCGTGAATTTACGTTGATCTGCCTTCATGTGAGCCCATTGTACAAGTTCTTAGCACATGACTCGGTGAATAAGGTACGACTCATCTTTCCTCTAGTACCTGCTATGTTGAGTCCTCAGGCCTTCCTTTTTTGCAATACAGAGTTTTTGCAGCAGTGGGAAAATGACGAAGTTAGCACTGAATTGATGATTCAGAGGTGCGTTAGGTCCGGATGTACAAACTGCATGTAGCTCAACCCGTAGGTGCCGCTCGACGTTCCCTACCATAGTCGAGACTGTTGGTCTCATTCGAAGTCACCCTAGTAAACGAGGTACTAGTGAGCGGCGTTCTCTCGGCGTGTGTGTACCATTCGTGGTAGGTCGTGCTGATTCGGACCTTATGACTCGTTCAGAGCAGGGCGAACATAGGATAACCGCAACGGTTTTCTGGATATCACAATTCTTGCGGAGGTAAAGCGTTCGAGGACCTACTTGCAGCTATTGTATCCCCAAGCAGTACCATATATTAGATCTCCATAGTGGAATAGTTATCTTACCCGAATGATCGTTGCCAGATCTGATGTCCAAGAGTTCATGTCGAGTGCAATGATGAGTGGCAGCCGCGTTCTCTCACCCAGAGGACATGCTAAGAGCGGAGGTAATCAGGGGGCATGCACACCTTCGCCCGATTCGTCGGTGATTCACAGTATGAAATCTATCTAGGCTCAGTCGCGAAGATATCGAGCTCGCCACTGGTCGAGCAGTCCGGGATCAGTCAGAAGGTAGCTGATACTAAAATGGAGCCTAAGGCACCAGAAGGCTCTGAAGAAGATGAGGATGGGTCCCCTACTATAGAATTCCCGCCCATTGGTGAGTTGGGTATCCTTGGAAGTTTGCTCATCGAGACGAGGCCCTGCTTGGGTTATAGCGAAATAGGCGAACTATTGGCCATTCAATGTATCTACCCGAGAGATACAGGTGATTTTCTATCAGGCGCAGAGTTAGAGATGGACGAGGATGAGTTTTACTCAGCCTCTGAGGGTGAGTGTTCTGATAATGAGGACAATAAGGCTCTTACGAGTAGTAAAGTTCTGCGGAAAAGACTAGAGAGAGGTAGGTTGGTGGTCGCGCATCCGGGAGTGGCACAAGTCGTTTTAGTCGAAAGACGGCCGCCAAGTGGTCTGGGGTTGGAAGTGTATGGTGCGGTTACTAGGGACTCGGTCATGAACGATAAATTTCGTCCAATTCTTAGCACAGACGAGGATGCGATAAATACCTGGTAGTATGCGGGTTAAGCTTGTCGCTTGGAGGGATCTCTTCGGTATTGACAGGATTGTATTATTCATGGCAGGAACGAGTTGGACTGTACGAAGTTTAAGGTTAGAGGCCACACATATCTCAGTGATAAAGTGAAACATCCTAGCGAGCCTGCACTAATGCAAACTGGTAAGATTGGGACTTTCACGGGCTGGGCCTGATAGCTCTTGTTCTGTCCACCCTGACTGGAGCACTCTCATCTACTTTCTTGTCCATTCGCTTGATGAAATCTCGAACGATGCTTCTCTTTTTAGCACAGTCGAACGGGTTACGATTCTCGTGAGGTGTGCAACTCTGATCGTGCTGCATCCGGGGGTTTGTTTCAGTGGCTTTCGAGTTGTTCTTCTGCGACGACGAAGAGGTGTTCTGCTGTTCGACAGAGCCACACTGCAAGGCCTACTGGCTGCAACGGGATCATCCAGATCGGTAATTCTCCGAACACTCTCTAATTCGACCTTCCGATTCAATTATTGGGCAGTTTTTTCTTCACGGTCACCTGGCGTATGGCACCGTTTTACTGCACGAACACCTTCATGGTCGATAAGGATGCTCCCTGGCTCCAAGCTGATACAGAGACAGTAAGCTCCGTTGTATGACTGTAGAGAACCTATTGTACACTCCCTTCCTAGTCCTATGGGGTCTTGATGCGGCGGTTTTTGGAGATGGACGACGAGGATCGTAATGGGCGAGTTAAAGTCATACCTGCTGTTGCTGAGGGACCATGGATTGTTAAAAAGGTGGAATTGGCTGTGTCTACAATGGTTAGGGTCAATCTTACCGATGTTATCAGGCGGTTGGGCAGACTCCAGCGATTATCGGTCGGAAGCTCACAACGACCCATTTTACTGGCGACAACTACGTTGAAGTCTCAGTGGATGTTTTTTCAAGTGCTGCTGCACGGCATATGATGTCACTGGTAGGCCGCTGATCACTCTGATAAGCGATAGATGTGTGGTAGGTCGTCGGTGCTGCGAAGAAGTTAGTCATCGATGTTGGGCTCGTGCTGGAGGGCCATTCGGAAGTAGGATAGTTCTTCCTCGAACCTCACCATTATCACTGCTTAGGAGGAATTACCAGAGCGGCTGCTAGGTGGATTCAGGCTGCGGAAGCCCGACCTGGCCACATGTCGGAGGTTTAAGCGCTCCGCTTGTGAATCACCGAGGAACTCAAGTCTCGAGTGATTCATACCAATAGCAGAAGAGTTGTGATATCATTCACTCAGCAAGATTCCTCAACACGCTCATTATTTCTCACCATCTGAAGGTTTTCGCCTGCTTCAGGATTTCACAGGCCGTTTGTTGGTGTACTTCTTGCTATTTTGGCCCTTGCTCACAGTCTCCGCTGCTGTGCTTGGGAAACTCTCAATCAAACTTGCCTTTCTCAATTCTCCTACTCGCGTTCTAGTGTATAAGCCTGATCAGCATTCGAGCTTATTCCGGATGGACTGGGGTTTCGATGAACTCTGACGAGGAGGATCTTGCAGGGTCTCACATTCCACATGTCTGAATCGTCTCCCGTAGCTGACATGCATGACGCCCCTCATGAAGGGGAGGAACCGACAGCCCCTGCAATCATCACGCATGTACTACACAAATCACTATATGTCCACCTATGGGTTGTGCTCAGGTTGAAGGTGTTTTCACGACCGAGTTGCCCGAGGAATATCATATCCCTGAGGACCCTATCGTTTTGGAAGCCAATCTTTCCCGTTCTGGTAGGATGATTCAGGCATTCAGTTTTCCCTCCAGCAACAGAATTGTGCAGGTCTATCGGCCATGCTTAATGATCTGCTTTCATTACAAGAGCCGGCAGTCTTTGACTTCATCATCAACGGACACTTCTTGCGAACCAGCCTCGCAGATTTCTACACCCAATATGGCCTTTCTAGTGAAGTTGCATGCAACATAGAGTAGTTTCCATTGTTCGTTTCGCGTAAAATGTTATGTAACATGATTTAGATATGTGCTGGCGATGCCCGAGCCAGAGACGGCTGAAGTCACTCAAGAGGAAGAGTGGCTTTCATGCATTGAAGTCATCGAGGGTACAGACTCAGAGTTCTATGCTACTGGCTCGATGAAAGGTACTACTCTTCAGTGGATCTATTCCATTCCGTGTATCATGTCCTTTGGAGGTTCTTGGGGCCTTTACACATCTGAGGGTCATCGCAAGCTCTTCGGACAGCGCGATTCGGACATGTCTGTATTGGCGCTCGCTGGACGTGAGCACATCGTAGCCACCGGTAAGTTGGGACAGAATGTCCATCTCGGTCGCTCGATCTACATATTCTCCATGGCAGGTAGTCGTGATGGGCTAGTCCGGTTCTATGCCATTGGTGAGGATAGCAAGTCTGCGGAGCTCATGTCGAGTGCTAACAATGGAATAAAGGGAGGGTATCCTACACTGTTGGTGTTGACAAGGCGCCAGTTGTGCGGTTGTCAGGGTCGCGGCGGTGACAGCTCTTACAATCTCTTCTGATGGGAGCATGGTCATTACTGGTGATGCTGGTGGACTCCTTGCATTGTACAATGTTCCCACTGGTGAGATCGATTGGATCAGGGTATCTGGTGTCAAACACTTAGCATTCGCCCTTAGAGTCATCCCGGGACGTATCTGGTCCGCGAGCGGTCTTTGCCGATCATCACATGGAGGGCTGCGGTGTGAGCAGGTGGATAACTCTGCGGGGTCTACATTGATGGTGATCATCCGTGTTTAGACTGGTGAGGGTCGACGCGGAAACTGTGATGTCGGCGTCCCTGGACAACACTCTTGCCCTATGGGACATTTTGGCCGTCAAACGCAATGCAGTTCTCCCCTGTGGAAGGTGGGGGATTCGGGACCTTTACGATTAAGCTCTTCGAATATTAGAGGATCATCGTTCTATAGCGTGTGCTGTCATCTCCTGTTATAGAGCTCTCCTGTGTATCTGTTCTTGCAATGCTTATTATTAGTGATTTAGGGCGGCAACCGCTCTGGCGATCTCAGCAAATAGACTAGGAGTATGCACAGGCCACGACGACGGTCGTGTTGCTTACTGGGATCTGCGCTCTTCGAAGAATGAGCTCGAACTCGTTCAACAGTACAGGACTCACGAGCGTTCTATCACAGGGGTGAGTGATTTGTTTCAAGGCTGATACTGTTCCTCACTATGGGTTTAGGTGTCGTGGAACCCGACGAGTGACTACCTAGTCGCTACTAGCTCTCTCGATGGGACTGTTAGACTCTATGATTCACGTTCGGCTCGGCTGCCACTCCAAAGATGTGATATGCCCCAAGACATTGCAGTAACTGGATGCACATGGCTTAACGACAAGGTAATCACGATACCTGTCCTCGTGGTCGCAGCTGGTTGCAATGCGTTATCTCAGGTGATCCTCTCGTCGGGCTCGGATGGCAAGGTCCGTACTCATATGATCAATCCATCACTGTTTACTCAGTGATTACACTTATGCCGATCGATGGCCCACCGTCATTCATACGTATATTCCTAGACTACTTAAGAAAGTTTCTTGCCAAAGGTTAGCTTGTTTAGTTGTATCCTCTACGATGGAAGGCATTCGCGATTTTTCGATCATGGAAACAACCGCCTTTAGCGATCTCGAGTGCAAGTTCGACGAAACTGATGTAATTGTTATGGACACAGGGTCGGGTCTCACTAAAGTGGGCTACAGTGGCTACGACGTCCCTGTGAGGGTTATCCCGACTGTGGCCTTTCAAGGCGAGTTTACTCGAGAAAGTATGGCTTCTCCTTATGCCCATGATCTGGGTAGTGGCCAGTTCTCTGGTTAGGCTCGTTTGATGACAGTCTGATCCTTGAGACTACCAGTGGGAGTCGGGCAAGCACAGCTGAGGCCAAGGATGCAAAGCTGTACGGTAAAGATGCGATCCATGCCTTCGTCGAGAGTGGTGGCCAACAAGCGAGTGCTGGTGAACGGCAAATAATACGACCAGTGCAACGTGGTGAGATCATTGATAAGGATCATCTCGAGGCCTTCTGGGAGTACACACTGAGACAGATAATGAGACCATCCAAGCGGAAGCTCGATGGTGGGGTCGTTACTCGTCAGATCCACCCTTGAATGTCGTCAACTGGTCTCAGGAGCAGTGTCTCTGGAGGAGTTCACAGTATTAATGGCTGACACCCCATCTAGTACTGCTGTGGCGACGGCTAGCAATGATCAACTCGTCGGTGTTGGTGGCAACAGCTATACTCGAGCGTGGATGGCAGAGGTGGAGTCTCCGGCCTCCAATATGGACCTCAACTCATACCAATCAGGTTATGTTTGAGAAGTTCAATGTTCCGGCTTTTGCTGTCATGAATACAGCAGCCCTCTCCTTGTTCTCCACCGGTATACCCACGGGGCTAGCGGTCGACATCGGGGAAGGGGTATCCTCTATGATTGAGCCTCGTCGCGGATCCTAGTCACTGCTTGTAGGTTACTCATGCCACACCGGTTTTCCAAGGATTTGCCATCCCTCATGCTACCTTCCGCTTGGACAAGGCTGGTACCATCCCTTCTTGGCTCGCTTTCGTCACCTGTGTTCACAGGCATGGATATAACTGAGCAATTGCAGAAGCTTATATCCCAACGTCAACCTACTATCGCTTCCAAGGTGGCCGGGATAGCAAGGTCGGGCCGCGAGTATTTCATGTATGCTGATATGAAGGAAAGATTCTGTCGAGTGAGGCAGCTTCTCGCTGGCAGTGTTAGTAACCCATGCGTTGTGTAGTTCCAGACGGCTCATACTCAGAACAGAGGACAGATCCAGGTAGTAGTTGTGGTAGATGGGTGGTGATCACAGAAGTATTATGCCGCGCTCTCTTTATGTGTGTGTTAGTCTTCACAATGTCGAGCCTGCAAACGAGAAGTGCATAATTGCTTTAGGCTGATTCTACTGCGAGCTGCAAGGATGGCTATTTCGAACTTCCAGATGGGAGCATCGTTCAGATCGATGAAGATTGTTGCCTGGATGCTCCTGACGTGTATACCGATCCTTGATATGTTCTGGTAGCGCCTGATGAAATACCTCAGGCTATTCTCTTCTGGGAATATTGTCACAAAGGAGAACAATGATGTCGTGACCAACACGGTCGATGGTACGATAACTGATATCTGCCGATCTGCGCTCGAAATAGTGGACTCGGAAATAAGGCAAGGCCTGTGTGGGGTCCCATGTCCTGTATTCCAATTGATATGTTCCAGAACTGACATGCTCGGCAACATTTACGTCTCTGGTGGTTCTTCCATGATACCAGGGATAGCTTCTCGGTTGGAGGATGAGCTGAATAGCGGTGGAATATCAGGCTCAGCAGGGCCGGTGAAAGTGAACGCGGATCCTCAGAGAAAGTGATGAAGTATAGCGAGCCATTCATTGATCGGCTTAGTGCTAGCTAGAGCACTGCGCCGCGTTGGTTGGACGTTTGTAGTTGCTCCGTCGAACGTGTTGTTGACTGCGACGGACTGGACATTTCGGTCCATGTTAGGAATCTCGGCTATACTCTACGTCTGTTACACGAGGATGTATCACAAAAAGCTTCTCTTAGTTGTCTACTCCATATGTGCTCTATAGTCCTTGGATTTGTCTATTTCAAATTTGCACGTATTCTTTTGCGAAAATATCATCACGAGAATCGACCAGGAGGAGTCTGTTTATTTGTATCGGATAATCCTTGTATTCGTACGGTTGGCGGGAGCTCTGGCATGTGAGATAGGTACGCAGCGTGGGTCGGTGGATCCATGATTGCATCAATGAGTACGTTTGTGGAGTACATGTGTGTCACACGGAAAGAGTATGAGGAAGATAAGAATAACCTCCGTGGAACTCTAGCGCGGAAGACATTCTGAAGAAATCATCATGAGCATACACTCACCGTGTTTAAAAGGTTAATCTGTTGTGTTTCAGTAGGTAGACAGGTAGCTGTCTTACTTTCATTCAGGCATGCTAATCGAAACAGTACTTCGGAGCCCAACGTCCACGGGGGAAAAGCGGCTGGAGGAAATGGGGGGAAGAAGGGGAAGAAGGGGAAGAAGGGGAAAAAGGGGAAGAAGGGGAAGAAGGGGAAGAAGGGGAAGAAGGGGAAGAAGGAGGAGGATAAAAGAAAGAGAGAGAAGAAAAATTTTCACTTATGCCTCCTTGCTTCCAATCACTATTATGCAACACAGACACGGAATTTAAATGCAAGCATTCATTATTTGACTGATAGGTAACAAGAACAGCAACCTGAGCAGGGATCAATATCGTAGGGCTTTCTAGAGAACAAGCCTTACTTTCATTGAATACACTGCCGCTTCGCATTGTAGCGGCCATACCTTCCTGCGGGGTGTATCCGCCTAGCTTCCATGCACTCTTCGAGCTCCTCCAGAGTGTCCACAAACGGGTACCACAATTTCCTCCCACCCATCGCTTCCTCGCCCCGGCGAATAGTGTGGTGACGCAGGCCGTTCGGAAAGACGTTAGTCTGCGCTCTGCACTGGAGGCAGGCCCCACATAGTTGGGGGTCTCCTTCTCTCCGCTGCACTGGTCTCAAACCCATCTCCTCTACAGCTGCAAGAACGCGCTGCCGGCGGTCATCGTGGACCAAAGGAGTTGTTGTTGATGCCTTCCTCACTGGTACCTTACTAGTGGCTGGCTTCCAGACCATCGGTCGGCTCTCTGCTTCGTCATCTCTCTGCAGGGAGTCCTCCCCGACTGGTGGAATATTGATGACTTCATCAATGGTCTTGACCGGAGCATCGCGCTTTTAACGCCATCACTGGCGACAGTATGATCGCATAGATCGGCAACGATCTCGCGCGATGTCTCATCCATGCAGCCCTCTCGCACCGGCTTCACGTGGCGACTGCGACGCACGTGATGACACGTGTTCGCATGCGTACACATCAACGATTTCAGCGCTATAATCGGAAATTGGCAATATGCTTGGTTGTTTCGGTCATCGAGCCAAGCTATGCTCACTGTTGCTGAGGAGCCGTATATGATGGCTTGCGGACAGGTCCAACTTGGTCAAACTCTCGTTGGTTGTTTGTCATCATAGTTGAATCTAGTGCGTAATCCATGTCAATGATCGGAGGAGGATATCGTGTTCGGGAGCTGAGCTCCTTATCCGAATATGTAGCGGCTATGGGTGAGGAACATCCAAAAACAGCCTGGAATGTTGGTGGTGTGATCGAGCTCGAGCCTTCAGGTAGGTCTCTCGAAGTTGAAACATTTTCTAATATCCTAGCAATGGATCAGTACGCGACTGAGATTATCTACGTCATTTCAGAGGATCCTCTCACTCGGAAAGAGCTTGCCAAGACTCTCAGTACTCGTCTGGTGTCCAAGCGGACCGCGTAATAATGGATCGTATCGACAGCCTCGCGTCCAGTATTGCTTCGTCTCCGACAGGTTCCGGTCGAGATTATGTTGTGCAGAGAAGGCTCGTCTTGGAGTTGAGCATCACTACTGGATGGAGGATATGGGTGATGCATTCGATGTCTTTGATGTCATTAGCAAAGTTGACGGAGGTGAATACCTATCACGTTGGAGTGGGATTCCTAACAATTCTGCGGCGTTGCAGATACAATTCGGCCGTTATACTCTGACAGTGCATCAGTCACGCCGGTGGAAGCCCTACTTGAGAACTCTGTTCAGCAGCCCTTCGAGAAGTCCCTTCCACCATGGCGCGTGTTTATGGTGGGAGCCCTATGCATGGGTACACGGGGGCAACGTCTGGTCTGCGTTAGGTAAATGAGCGTGTGGAAGTAGCTCAGCGAGTCCTCACTCGCACAAGTCTCATATTTAACTTGCATCACGTACTTGGTGACGGCTTCACCTTGATGAATGCGCTTTTGGATATGACCATGCCGAGTGTGAATGGTGACACGGTCTCCCAGTCTGTGTCACACTGGCGCCCACGATCAAGACCTGCGGATATGTTTTCGTAATCAAAGGTTTGCCGCAAGTCTCTTGCGAGTCTTCTCTCATACCTCTTGACTGTATCGATTCCTTTCAGATTGCGATGGTTATTATCTTGGATCTGCATGCTTCCTTTTGCCCTGTTAGAGTTGACTTATGGTTATTTAAAAAGTGATCCCAAAAATCCTTTCCACCCTTGCGGAGAACTACGTGGCGATAGACAAGTAAGGCTTATTCAGCGTCATTGTCAGGCATGCAGATTGTCGTCAGGTTCGTTTATGCGAACCAATTCCTCTTGACCGAGTTAAGGCTATCTGCGAGTCCTTACATGTCACGGTTAACGATTTTCTAATTGCCATCATAGCCGGTGCGTCGAGGAAGTATCTGCATCGTCAGGCCAATGTGAGCTCCAAACATGAAATCTCTATGGTACACGAAGGGACTGCTTTCAAGTTGGACCTACCGTTCGACAGGATCCAATCTTATGATGATGCATTATCAAGAAGAGCTCTTCTACTTTTCAGATTCCTAACGAGGAAATTAGCAGCCTCGGCTTGGGACTCTCATTCACCGTCAACCTTAGGACAGGGTCCAAGATGTTCTCGAAGCGGAGAAATTTCTCGATAATGTTCGGAGTGGGTTCCACATAGAAATTTGTGCCCTGGAATCCGCTTCATGGAATGCAGGTACCTTTACCCGTTGCTGAGCTCCATGCACTCGACAGAATCGTGGCAATACAAAACGCAACACAGCGGTTGAAATGTTCCCCCTTGATGATAGGTAGTCTTGAAAGTGTGCGAGCATGTGTGGGATACAAGTCCTTCTGGTCTTAGGGGCTGTACTATCCTACATTACTATGTGGGCCTGCAATTGGCCCTTATTGCGGACTCTTACCATCACTCGTTTGGTCGGCCCTAAATATGCCTCTGGAAAATCATGGCGTCTCGCTAACGTGCCGGGGCCCAAAGCCGAACAGACCCTCTGCGGCCGGCGAGTAACCTCACTTGTTGGTTATACTAACAATGCCAACGGGGTTGTAGCTGTCAGCTATCGAAACGAGGTAGGACTCTTAGTTGATCAGGATAGGCATGTGGGTGTCTCTGAGGATTAGTTCTGTCATCAAATTTGGGGCGCCTGACCGCGATCGAGAACTGGTTTGCTCTTCTTTTCAGTTGAGATTGACCATTTTCACCGACAAGGCCCACATAAGTGCGAACGTGAGTTCTTGCATGGCTATTAGCTCCAAGCGTGATCCTTGTTGTTAGGTGCTGCGTGATTATCTTGAGCAAGAAGCAGCCACCTTGTTATCTCTAGTGCCACCCCCCTAATTCTTTATATCCAACTTATGAAACTTATCACTCAACTGGGTAGGATCTTCCGATCTTGTAGGACTCATTTCTCAACTAGATAGGATCCTTGAACTGCCAAATCATATTTCAGCTCTGTAGGATCGATGATGAGTTTGTATCAGAGTGTTAAAACGGTCCAGATTTCAAGTACAATGGTAAATTTTTCTTGAAGGATGTTGCGTGAAGTGAGTGTACGCGGTTTGCAAGGCGGTTCAAATGGACAACATCATTCTTGTCGTTCGGAGAGGATATCGTACATAGAAAGCATTGGATATATGTGCTTGTTTACCTACTTTCAACTCATGCATCACGACGAACTGACACATGAAGTGAGTGCGGTCCAATGTCGAATTTGCTAGCCTTGTTGTGTAGCGGTCGTGTCTCCAAAAGAGTCGCTTACCGAGTTCATCGTGGGAAGCATCAGTTGGCTGGAGTTGTCTCGATCAAAATTGGACCGATTCCGGTGCCAGAAACAGAGTCCTAGTCACGCGCAATACGAGAGACCTTACCAGTTGTTGTTCATGCGTGCAGCGGACCGCAAACGCATAGCTTTTCTCCGCTTCCATAGAGCGAAGTATAACACTTCATCATGGAGATTACCTAAGTATCACAACCACCATCAATGTCATCACCGATGTCATTGAGTTCATCTGAGTCACTTCAGTCAGAGTGTGATAGTAGCATATCGCGACTCAGGACGTAACTTCCACAATCTTCCCTGTAATGAGCCTCAAACGGTCACTCTGGTTTACGAGAAAATGTGTGCGGTATTATTCCACAACGAAATGGAAACACTCTAATTGCCAAAGCGTTTGATCGAGCTTTCGAGAACGATTAGAAGCGAGCGAAAGCAAACGCACATTAAGCGCGAAAGATATTATGAGCTCAGTCGATCAAAGCTTTTAAGCGTCATCGTAGCTCTAGCGCGCTGAACTCAATGATGCCGCTCAGCTCTGTCTTAAGACAAGAATCATTTTCTGCTCGTTCTTGGTCTAAAGTGAGTTAGATCTTGTTCGGAAGGGATCTTCCTGGAGGTTTTCTAGTCTTCAAATGAGAGCCGCTGTATTGAGTTTCCTTGGAGCAGTAGCCGCTATAGAAGCGCATCGTTTCCCTGAAGAAGAACCCACCTACTACTGCCATCCCGAGATCGAGTGGGATAGTGTTCCTCCTCGTGAAGATGATTCTGGAGCTCAACTGGTAGGATCTCATATGATGATGTCGGAATCACCATCACTTGACTTTATCGTTTTCAGGAGCGTGTTCTGGTGTTTGCCCGTCATGGCGCTCGAATGCCCGTGCATGACATGATGTGCTGGGTTGGAGATGAGACTAGGTAGCGTGCGCTATGATGTATAGGAGGTATTATTTACCTCGTCTCAATCTTATTCAGATATACCTGTCCCACTGAGACCTTCTATGGCTTCACTAATAGTCCCTCGGGTGGAAGATCCCCTGCCTTCACCCGCATTCGTGGCAAGGAGGGTGTTTTACCGGGAGACAACTGTGTATTGGGTGAGTCTCTCTATTACGGCCTCGTACTTTATTATTGTCTTCTGATTATCAGGTCAGCTCGTTGACGCTGGAGTACAGATGCATCTTGCTAACGGAAAGCAGTTTGGTGCTTCCTACAAAACTGCCCTTGACTTGGACGATGTAGGTCCCACTTATCGATTCTGCTGTTCTCATCTTTTGATTGAGCTCATGCCTTCTCAAACATCAGGTCCCGAGTGAGCCCCAGGTGATGTTCCGTTCCACCGATGTTCCGCGAGTGTACCAGAGTGTCGAAGCTTTTGCCATGGGAATGTTCCCCGATATTATGACTGGTAGGTGTAGTGATTATACTCTTCCCGTTACTGGTCATGCGAGTCTAGACATATGACTTTTCCTCAGAGGATCCTTCGAACCTCGAGATCATCATCCCTGATAGTCAGAGAGATACTATGACCCCTAGTGCTCAGGTGATTGGAACGGCGCATATTTGGATATTCATTCGAGGCATCGCCGTGCTCAGCTTCTATTCTCTTAGGTGTGTCCTCGCCTTAATGACGCCTTGAAAGTATTCTACGATTCTGCTGAAGCCAAGGACCGTGTTGAGAGGTCTAGGTTCGAGCGTGCTTTCATGGGGTTCGTTACTGGTCGCCCTGACGACTTCAGTACTGAGAACCCGGAAGATATGGAGCATCTTTACTCTGGTCTTTATGTAGGTTTTGATATAGAAGTTATGTGGTTCTCTGATTTCACGGATTTCAGGACTGCTTAACGAGTCATGTTTGCTCAACTGTCCCTAGCGAGCCCAAGAATGTTCCCCTTGGCCTTGGTACTTCCAGTCCTTTATTCGAGCGTGTTGAGGAGGATGCTACGTAAGCCAGTCGATGCGCAAAAGCGAGGGATGTTATATCCGCGACTGTAGGTTCTGGTTAAACAACCGCTATGGTACTACAGAGGAGTTGCGAAGACTCGCATATGGTCCTCTGATCAAGGTGAGTTTGAGTGTCGGCGGAGTCTTGTGTTTACGACTTCCTTTTGTGGCGAATTTTTGTCTGCTATGTATTGCACACACTCTTTCAGGACGTACTCGAAGACTTGAGCATTCCTGGCAGGCGTTTCTCATTGTATCTTGGTCACGATACTGGTCCGGCTAACTCCCTCACTGATACTCTCCAGTTGAAGTGTAAGCACGCTTCATGCGTATCTGTTTGACTGTCGTTTTCAGGGATGGATTCTGGTAACGCCTGTGCAAAGTATTGGCCTCCATTTGGAACCGCGTTGATATTGGAGATCTACTCTGACAATCAAGCTCGCTGGATCTATAACGGTCGTGTGACTTCCGTCGAAGCCATCGAGGAATGTCGCGGCAAGTAAGCTACTTCCCATTGAGATGCAAGTGAATGTTGTTCATTTGGGTTGATCGAGTGAATTCGTTCGAGTGTGATTCATCGTGATATGTTTCGGACAGTTTGCTATGATGTCTATTACAGGTCTCTCTGCAATTACGAGTCGCTATACGAGTATCTCACGACTGTTGTGCCCAACAAGTTTGAGTGCAAGGGTATCCCTGAACCGACTCGTGGTGGGAGCCTCCGTGGATAGATATTTTACTACTGAACTTTTTTTACTACAACTCCGAAGAAATTTTGGGTGTTCACCTGTTCCTATATGCTGCCTTTTCGGGCGGTTTTCTGTGCGATAGACGTTTATGTAGTTACTTTCCTATGTACGGACTTCTCAAGAAGTGTTCGAGACTTACGACTGAATGTTGTGTTCAATCAAGTTCCGGGTTGCTCTTCCTTCCTCACCGGAACACAACCATACTCTAATGAGGGAGACTTGATCAAGCAATCAAGTGTGGGATGGCCATAGCATTTGAAACACTTCGAAGTCGTGTATGTAACTGTGAGTTGCGAGTAGTTTCTCGCTCTTTCTCCTTCTGCTCACGGGCCTTTTCTAAGCGGTTCGTTATCTCATAATCGGAGATCTACATCAAGAGAGCCTGCAGCGGATCTCGAAAGTTAAAATACCGTCACTTTCTTAGCCTGTGTGGCCCGAACGGTTTCGTCGCGGCATCTTTCCAGTTCGGATCGTATAAGGGCCCTCTTTTCTTTGCGCTGCTGTTCAGAGGCTTTCCACTCCTCAACTGACGAGGGGGTTTATTTATTAATGTTACCACCGTCACTCACGTCGTCTAACTTCCTCCATCTCTCTGTATTTCAAACCCTTCTGTAGAGTTTCTTGCTCCCGTCTATCTTCTGTTATTTCTCGCTCCTTATGACAGTTCTTGTGTTCTGCATCATTCGCAGACCTATAGACAGGCCTATCATTCGTACCCATCGACCAAATGTGCTGACGAGGCACTTCCTGTCTCTTGGGTTCTCGTGGTCCTTCGCAAGGACCTCCTCCATTCGGACCAAACCATAGCCCTGTGGCGCGCCATTTCCGTGAGTCTCAACCTGCAAATGACGGTAGCAGCTCATTCATAGTTAGTCTTACCTTTCTCGATCCTGCCGTAAAAAATGGATCGTCCAAGCTCAGACTTTCCGACCCTCCCATCAGGGCCTGTTCTTTCATCCGCCGCTCGCGATCCTCATCCTTCGCTTTTATGTTGCTTTGTCTCACAGTGTCCATACTGGCAAGTCGTTCCTTGAGCACCGCCCGTTCATGGGCCGCAGCCCGGGCATCTTCCAGCTTCTTTTCCTTTTGCAGCTTGATAGCGGCCCTTTGCTTATCCTCTGCGAGTAAGAATGGTTTTTGCACGTCCTAAGGTGCATTTGATGGCGATGCAGCAGAAAAGGTTGAGTAGATCCATAGCTAGCGAGCAAAGTGTCGCTCACCTCAATGATGTGCTTCCTCTCTCGTTCCCGTCGATACCGCTCTCTCGCAGCCTCATTATTGTTTCTCGACGCTTCCAGCCGTTCCTGGGGGGGGTAGCTCTTGCGGTATTTTGGGTGGAATCTCAGTCACCCATTCCCTAGCTCTCTCTTCTTTGGCGAGTGCCCTTTCATGACATGCGAGTTCCAATGATTGAATACGCTTTCTACGTAGTTCAGCCAAGTGCTGCGAATGCCGAGTCTGTATAACACATACGAGATGTTCTATTCCCGGACGATTGAACCAAACCACTTGAACGTTTATCTGCCGTTGCCGTTTGTCAACAATTTCCTTGTTCAGCTGCTTCAAGGCATTGGCCCGTTGCAAAGTCACCTATAAATAACCGCAACGAGTGGAATGACCCAAGATAGGACGGCCTCACTTCAGCTCTGCGGGCATCAAGCATCGCTTTCCGCTCGACCTCTTTAACACGGTCCTCTTCTAAGTTCGACTCTTTGCACTGAACAGATTTTGAAAGTTTATGAGCAATAAGGTAGGATGATATTTTCAACCGATCAGAAGGCCGTAATAAGGACGTTACTTGTTGCCGACCCTGCGAACTTTCAATCCTGGCCTGCTTGTCCTTCTCCGCAGCAGCCTTTTCCCTCAACAGTCGTTGAATCTGGGGAGTAACTTGACTCGATTCGAACTGCCCCCATACCTCTTCCTGTTGCTTTTTGATCATCAGTTCCTCCAACTCGTCCACAAGTTGCTTCCTACTTGCGGACTCTGCCTTGTATTTCAATGCCTTCTGCTGCATGAGTTGGTTCTCTAACTGCATCTGAATATCTCCAAATTGCGGCTAACATTGCCTCTATAATGCCCACCTTAGCCAATCGATTAGCTCGATCTTCGTCCAACTTAATCAATCTCTGTTCAGCTTTTAACTGCTCGAGCCTTCGTCTACCTTGAACCTCCGCAAGGAACTAAGAAGTCAAGTTGCCATGGCCACACCGATGAGATCATTTTACTTCCTTCCGAACACCCTCACTTTTCATCATATCAACATATAAGCCTGAGTCATCACTCTTGAGAGGCTGATTCTGTTGTTGCCTGCAGTAAGATGGATATAGTTTCGTATTCCAAACTTTACGTGAGCGTGGGTTCCGATTTCGGTTCTCCAAAGTAAGTGGAAGAGGAGCCTGATTACAACAGTATCGTTCCACTCCGCTCGCATGGCTTGGCGCTCTCACCATCTCGTCGATAAGATTCTCCCCGCTGAGACATATTCAGTTCTCCAGCCATATCAGCTATCCCGGCAGCCGTGGGTTCCGGAGCGAGGCACAGTACCAGAATGTGTTAGTAAGATGGTTTCCAATCACTTCCATCGTGTCGTGGGCCATCCCACCTTGTTCCCTAGGTAGTCCTGTACTATGAAGTCGAGGCGTTCCACAACCCAGTGAAATCTCGCGTCAGTATTATTCGGGTTCATCAACTCGGCGTTGAACCTTCCGGCGACACACCCCTCCAGGCTACATTTGAACCAACGACATGATCTACAAAGGGATTACCTAAATAACTCGTCGAAATCGGAGTAGGTGTATGTCAGGGTGTAGGTAAGATCCCGCCCTAGCTCATAGGCAGCGAAGTGCACTCGTGAGAGCTCAGGATCGTCGTATATAGAGACCACATAGTACCTAGAATTCATCAGAACATCGCCGCCCTGCAATATGAGGATCCACATCCTAGTACTCTCCTTCAACCTTTTTTCCCTCCTGGAAAACTAAATCCCCTGTTAAATCTGTTGGACGGCTGGTCATACAGCAATTGATTGCTGAGTGACGAGCAGTATTTCCTACGTGGTCCTCCCGTGATGCAAGAGTGATAGGCCGACTTGGTGGCTTTCCTATCGTAGAGGTACTGAAGTTGACTCACTCAACAACACTCTGCTCACTAGGTCCAACATGCTATCACAGTTGTAAATCGGATCTATAACCAGTTCGGTAGAGCGCTTAGTGTGCGTTTGAAGCAGTGAGTTGTCATCAGATCAGAACCTCATAGAATCCATTTGCCGCCCGATCAGGCCCTCGAGGGCAGAGGGACACTGGTGGAGGTGTCTCGGGTACAAGTCTATTTTCTGCAGTCCAATCTCCAAATGATGATTCCTCGATCCTTCAACGCTAAGGCTGATTCGTTCTAAGAAGCAAGTCCGGACTTCACTTGAGCCTACCATATGGACTGCGGCTTTAGCAGTCGAGCTAAGGCGGCACTTGAAACCTAGCTGAATTGGGTGTACTCTGGACGTGGGAGCTCAGCCCTATTCCATGGCGGATCGACCTCCTGTACGAAGCGAGCCTATGGAGGCCGAGCGGCATGCTTATTCAATTCTTGATTCACTAGGAGTTCTTAATTCTCGTTCTCCATCATGTAAACTCTTGTTCGAAAAGTCTGCCAAAGCGGTTACCAGACTTGGACACACAGATGATCGGCGGTTATGCGCGGGTAATTACATCCCATTTTCGGATAATTTTGCACAATCTGCAATCGTTCGTGCAATCGTTCTGCGACGCATCCATCTAACTGGCTGATACACTCAAACTGCATGGCTGGCCCCCCTCCCACAGAGAGAAAAAGCCTCAAATCCCGACAACGAGTCCCCCGTTTACATAGTGGCGTAGCTTCAAGAGTAGGAGCGCTCGAGAAGGACGAGGCGGAAGTTGAAGTACGGACGAAGGTGGAGCAGGTAGTCATCATCAAGAGACACGTGTGGGTCCAAGTTAGCGGCTGCAAGTCAGGTCTTATCCATAATGGAAGGGCCCGATCGAGCTAAGGACGATCGAGTTCGTGTTCCTAATGAGTTCAAGGCTGTGGTCCGGTCTCGCGTTATGATACCATGGCTCCTCAGTCTCATACGCCTCCAACGGCACAATATACTCCTTAGATATTCTATACCATGTAGGAAGGCTCACTTTCCTTATAGTGCATAGAAGCTGGTATCATGTTCAGGCACTTTTCGGTGTTGTGGCGGCGATAGTACGCGTAAGTCGCGAGGACCGTCTCGATGGAATACCAGGAATACCAACATAGAAGAGCACTTTTATGATCCGAACCCAACACATACTCTACCTGATGCTGAATCTATGAGACTGGCCGCCCAAGTGAAGGAAAGTATGGCCCGCGTATCCCAAATGTGAGGCTATTGGTATACCTCCTGTTGATGACTATCCAGTTTGTGTAGGTATTGTGAGCTAGTCCTGCGGGTAGGCTCTTGCAAGCGGGGCATAGCGAGGACCAGACAGATCCGTTGGCGAAGGAAATTTGGTGTGCAGCTGAGTTACGAGCACGACTTCCCTAACCAGAACATGTTTGAGACCCTGTAGGGAAGATGTTCCTGTTTCTACTGGATGCATTTGTTCAGGTATTTCTTCGTATGTCGAGTAGTTATGGGATGCCTACAGGAATATCATCCTCCACGCAGGCTCTTTACATCCCCTAGAGTTGATCAACTTATTACTGCCGACCTGCACAGATTATTCAAGTCGATGAGGTAGTTCACATAGCAGGGTCACTCGGGATCATAGTACTTATTAAAGTTATAATATGCATGGACGGGAACTCAAATTGAAGAGACTGGAAGAGATTGAGTCGAAGCGCAAGCGAACATTCGAGGAGACTGTTGAGGAGCTCCGATCAGCACAGTCCAAAGCCCCTGTCACTCCGGCTCCGGCGGAAGGTGGTGAGGGAATCCTCCAAGTAGCTCTTGTAAGAATCATTCCCCAGGTGAGGAGGCTGTGCTGAGCAAGAGAGAACAGTTCAGACTGAAAATTGTATCTCCTTCGGTGCGGGAACTTGTGGAAGCTGCTCATGAACGGGCGAGGTTACCGAGAAGTCATAGAAAGCTAGTCCGTGACTATGGACGTAGTGACAAGCGGGTGCGTGCTTCGACACCCCAGCTGGGGGTTCGCGTTAGGCTTGTCTATACGGTGCATGCAGGTACTGGATCAGAGTATCCATGGTAGTATGTTCGTCGACTACAACGATCTGGTACCGGTACCGTATCGGCGGTCGCCTCTTGTGAGTCTACTTTTACCGAGTCCAAGAGAAGCAGTCCTCCGGATGATAGACGTAGACTTCAGCAGAGGCCCAAACAGTGGTAAGGGATTGTGTGTAGCTCCGATAGTGATTTCCTTATCGTATTGTGGTAGCTCGGGAAAGCCGAAGTCGCCGAGAGGTACCTGACTCGGGAAGGATGCCACAGACGGCTCGTGACTCTACGGAGTTATCCTTACCGCCATTGGGTACTGGTAATGGGGGCCAATCGAAGGCGACCGTTGCTCCTATCAAGACGGAAAGGTCCGATGCGGCCATGTCGCTGCCACAAGAGTATCATAGTCATAGCCTTGTCCGGCACACACCGAGGACTCGGTGGTTCACTCATGTTTAACATCACATACTCCTTCATGCTGCGTTAATTCACGTGCTACCTCCCCAGCACTGATAGTCCACCACTGTGTCGTGTTAAGTCGCTGAGCCATGCCTCTGGTCCTGAGGTTGGGGGTAGTCAGTGTTGTTAAGGTCTCCTATCATGTCGGCTGCAGAGGATGACAAAGTAGTAACGAAGGAATCTGTTGTCAAGGAGAATGCCGCGGATGATGAAAAGATGAAGAAGAATAAGTACAACCTGTTGGTGGTGGTAGTATCGAGCTTAGGATACGTACGCAGGTACCGTCGTGATAAACCATGGGATCATGAAGGGATCGATCACTGGAAATATGAATCCTTCGCCAAAGAGGATAACCCATCAGGTCTCCTCGAGGAGAGCAGCTTCGCGACGCTCTTCCCCCAGGTAGCAGTGGATATCGTCTGTGTACAGTGATATCGATACACCATCTATTTCAGTATCGTGAGAATTACTTAAAGCAAGTATGGCCGGATGTTAAACAAGTGCTTGCTCCCTTTGAGATCAAAGCCGAGCTCAACTTGGTCGAGGGTTCAATGACAGTAGCCGTCCTGCTGCTGCTGTCGTGGTCTAACTCCTCCACGCCCTCGTACAGGTACGAACTACCCGAAAGACGTGGGATCCTTATGCGATCATACGAGCTCGGGATCTCATCAAGCTCCTTGCACGATCAGTTCCTCTCCCACAAGCAAAGAAGATTATGGATGATAACATGTAATAGTCAAGGGTTACTCTCAGTGTGTTAAGTGGGTTGAGGGGATTATCGATAGTCCTCAGAGTGTCTTACCTCCTGGGCCGTTCAGGTTCTGTGATATCATTAAGACTGGTGGGCTCGTTCGTAATAAAGAGAAGTTTGTGAAACGCCGACAACGTTTGGTTGGGCCTAATGGAAGTGAGTCTGAGAGCATCGCATAGAATATTATTGTTCTATTGCGCAAGGTACACTGAAAGCCATCGAACTGTTAACTCAGTGCTATGTTCTAGTACAAGGACAAACTGTTGTTGCCATGGGTACTCACAAAGCCTTGAAACAAGTGAGCTCGCCGGCTCCATTTCCTGATCGTTATCACTCCCAACAGGTCCGTCGGATAGTTGAAGATTGCTTCCACAATGTTCACCCAGTATATCATGTGAAGGAGTTGATGATTAAGAAGGAGCTCGAGAAGAATGAGGATCTCAAGGATGAGAACTGGGATCGATTCCTACCACACTTCAAGAATCGGAATGTACTTAGACACGCTATGACTTATAGTTGCGATCTCGTTCTTCGGTGAGCGGTTTCCTTCTTACTGATGGTTGATAGGTACAGCGTAAGAAGCAAAAGAAGATTGCCAAGAAGAAATCCAAGGAGCTATTCCCTCCTGAGCAATTACCTCGTAAGACGTACTGACGGAATGAGTACAGGCATGCATTCTTCCATTCACAGGCAAGGAGGATATCCAGATCGAGACCGGTGAATACTTCCTCTCGAAGGATCAGAAACATTCCAATGAGATGACTAAGAAACGCGAACATCAGAAACAAGTGACTTTCCGACCCTGAGCCCGGTAGTGGTCATGCTCGGGGTTTCGTAGGTATCT